TCATCATTGTTAGAAATGCCTTGCAAGTACGGAATCGAATGCGGACAGACAAAGTGCCGTTATTCGCACCCTTCTCCAGCTAACTGTATGTTTTCCCAATAGAGTTTTTGTTGATTTAAATTTCTTGTAGCGATCGAAATAATCAAATCATTGTATACATTATTCAATTAGTAATTACACCTTGCAAGTTTTACCCAAATTGTAAGAATCCGGTATGCCCATATCTACACATGGACTATAGGTATGTACACATAGATATGTATATGTTGAGTGTTTGATTCTAATTTGGTTATGCACACAAGTTGGTATTATTGATTTTTTCTAGTAATGAACCTGTCGCAAAAGTCCCGACTCCTTGCCGTAACGGTAATCTTTGCACACGGACCAACTGTCTTTTCATGCATCCATGGGACATGGAAATGGATGCGAATATTCCAGTAAACCTAGCATATATTTCCTAAAATCTTTGCATCATATTTTCGTGTTGTAGTATTAACAATGCTGCTCATTTACTGTTCTAGTGCAAATATGGATATGAATGTCGGAGACCTGATTGTGCATACTCGCACCCGATGGGTAAAAAAGATCACAACCAACCCGTGTCCGACCGTACGTTTGTTTCCGTCCCTGATGAACTTACCGAAAAAGTTTATGTAGCTCAGGATAATCAGGTAGAGTCTTTGCAGGATGAGAAATCCGATATAAATAATGGGACACTCTTAGAACAGAAAACAAAGGAAGGCGAAAGTAATACATCAAACAGTGACGATAGTAAAGATCAGAAGGAGGTAGAACCAATTGATGAAGGTTTCAATTTGGAGGAGGATTTGGAGGATTTGGAAGATATTAATTTCATATTAGATGATGTTGATCATGGAGAAGTTGTTACTGATGTTTAAAATTAGGGTCGCGAGAAAATAGGTCTCAAACGTGTCAGTTAATAAAGGCGAAATCCCCTAAGAATTTGTAGTTATTAAATGGAGGGATGCTTTTCTCATCTCACGAAAATTATATGGTTTTTTTCCTTTAAAATACTTAATAATTTTATTCATTTCCTCTTGCTTTGTACTACCATTTATTCTATTAATGAGCTTAGATATTATTTTCTTTTATGCGAATATATATATTAAATATATTCGGTCATTGATGGTGGGTAAATCCGAAATATCTGATATTTATTCATGTCTGGACAATGGTTACGAAGTTTGAATTTAGCACAGATGATCTTGACAAATCATTCGTAGTTATATATGTTAACAATTAAAAAAAAAAAGAAAAAAAATTTAAAATAAAAAATTATAATTAATGTCAAAATAATCACCAAGTTAGCTTCGGTTTTTCTTAGACCAATGCAAATATCAAAGCTCGAGTTTTAAAAGCTTATAAAAAATGAAACTCTAGTCCCTCCAAAATCCAAAAGTTAGCACTATTAGAATTTCTATAAAAACATCCTCTCTCCTCATCCGTTTGTAATAAATTTTCCTTGATTGTCTGTCTCAACTTTAAAATTGAAAATCTACCATCACGGAGAGGACCGGGATTGACAATCATCGTTTGACCCAAATGTGAAAGGCCGAATGGATAATGAGAGTGACCGTGAATGTTCACTACGACCTTGCAGTTTGGTGGACTGTCAGGGGTTAAAGGAGATCTTGATTCGAGAATTTTACGTATGGTTGGACTGGGCAAGGGAAGAGAATCTAGATGTTAATCAGGGATCAATAACACGATTGAGATGTGACAAATAATCACCTGCCAGCCTCGACGGAAGTGGAAGGTTCTTGCAAAGGAAACATTTCCACATTGGTAGTTCCAATTTTAGCGGGACCAACATGAGTCACCAAGATGACATCTTCCTTAACTTGATCCAATAAAGTTGGTAATTTTTCGGCAAACAGAGATTCGGTATTACTTGGGCAGGCTTAATTTAATAATGAAGTCGTTTGTTTTAGAATCGTTTAAAATTCAAGACGATCACATAAAATACCTGGCCAGACAACGGTCTCCGGAGAATTTTTCAGTACACCGTCGGTTGATCCACCAAAGCCCAGGATGCTTAATCCTGGTGCTAATCATTTTACAAGGACCAATGTTATGCTGCGCCATTTGCATAAAAAGCATTGAAAATAACCAAGAGGTACCGACTTAATTGAACAATCTTATTATGGAGATTTATCACGCTTCCTTGATCGGAAGAGAAAAGAAAAGACGTGTCCGGATCGTGATTTCCTAGATTGATAGTAATTAACGAACAAGTTCACGCATCCCCTCTGGAGAATACATAAAGCATCAGTTACCCGGTATGTAATATACCGATTTTCCTAATTTCTCGAGAGCAGAAAGTACTTCACGAAATTCTTCTCTGTCCTTTTATTTTCAAATGGAATTCAATTTTATTGGCGAAACATCAACAGCAGCAATTATTAATTGTTGCATTATCAACGTCAAAAAAGTCTCCACCTTCTCAGTTGTCAAAGGGGTTAAATAATTGGCATTCACGAGATCACCCGACACGATGACGAAATCAATTCTTTATGATTGAATCGATTAGATCGAGAAAAAAAACGTGGACAAAAAAAATTAATAACGCAACTCCATTAATCGATCTTTTTCTATCAACCATTTTCTAAGCTTCTCAATATTATCCAGGCGATAATGAATATCGCTAACAAGAAGAAACGTATGATTCATTTTGTTTTCCTTCAATTTAACTTTATTTATACCGGCCCTCTTCTCGTACGTTGAAAAAACTTGTTTTTTTGTTCACCTTTTATGTTTAATTGCAAACTTTAAGTGGGATCGTACGTTCGTTTCAATGCGTCGATCATGATCTGTTGATTATCCGATTATCGTGTCTTTGGAATAAAGATATGCCTGATTATTTAAATGATGAGCACCATTACGTATTATGTATTTATAAAAGGGACGATAGTTCTCCCAGCAAAATTGTAAATTCCCATTTCTTTCTCTTTTTTTTTTTTAAAAAAAACGAAACGTGCATAATGGTTGTCAAAGTCGGAATCAATGGGTAAGCACCTCTTCTTGGGCTTCTTGCGAATGTACGCACACATTTCTTACGTTTAATTCCTCACACCGATAATTTCACTTGCTCAGCTTCGGTCGTATTGGTCGCCTTGTCCTTCGAGCTTCGTTAAACAATCCAGGGGTTCAAGTTGTAGCTTTGAATGACCCTTTCTTGGACCTTGAATACATGGTTTGTTTCTTGATTTTACCATGAAATACAATGGCCGCTAATCAAATTGATCTAATTCTAATGATTTTTCAACCCTTCGCGTACGTACCTAGATATATCTTTTTAAATATGACTCGACTCACGGTCGTTTTAAGGGCGTTGTTGAAGATAGAAATGGGAAAATGGTTGTGAACGGAAACGAAATATCTGTTTTTTCTGAAAGAAATCCTGCTGAGATTAAATGGGGTGAAGTTGGTGCTGATTACATTGTTGAATCCACTGGTGTTTTCACAACTACTGAAAAGGCATCAGCTCACTTGAATGGTAATTCTTCATTATATTGACTCCTTGAATCTGCATGTACTATATTGATAAATTTGTTTTGTCCCATAGGGGTTTGTTTCTTTTGCAATTTAACTTTAGGTTTTATTTTAATAAGTATAAACTTATAATGAAAATTTTTTATTATTTTCAAATCAGGGAGCCAAGAAGGTATGTTCATATGACAGTGTTTCATCTTTTTTTATGTCCATATTATGTCAGTTCACAAGTAACGCGATGCAATCGTTACTAGGTTATCATTAGTGCTCCAAGTGCTGATGCACCCATGTTCGTAGTGGGTGTGAACCTCGATGCATATAAACCAGAATACAAGGTTATCTCTAATGCCTCATGTACCACTAATTGTCTGGCTCCTCTTGCCAAAGTTATCAATGATAAGTTTGGCATCATTGAAGGATTAATGACCACAATTCATGCAACCACCGCCACCCAAAAAACCGTAGATGGACCATCTGGAAAAGTACGTATCTTTCCCAAGTGTCGCTCTAATCTTTAATAAGGATCTAAGACAGTTAAATATATTTGTAGGATTGGAGAGGTGGAAGGGGTGCAGGTATATAATTCGGAATCTTGTTCATCCTTTTGGTTTCAAAATTATTCAAATCGAATTATTAAATAGTTTTTTGTATATTACAGCTCAAAACATTATTCCGAGTTCAACGGGGGCAGCAAAGGCAGTTGGAAAAGTGCGTGAATCTTTTATTTTTGCAAGCCTCCGAGTTATAGATTAATTAACAATTCACTTTATTAGGTTATTCCTACTTTGAACGGTAAACTCACTGGTATGGCTTTCCGAATTCCTACTGCTGATGTTTCGGTCGTTGATTTGACAGCTCGTTTGGCAAAGGAGACAACTTATGATGAGGTCGTGGCTGTCATCAAACACGCGTCTGAAAACGAGCTGAAAGGAATTCTAGGTTACACCGATGATCAAGTATGATTCGTGTCTCTATTATTGCACATATATATGTATATATATATATAATAATTCTTCAATGTAATTTTTGTTATCAGGTTGTATCTACGGATTTCATTGGCGACACTCATTCCAGTATTTTCGACTCAAAAGCTGGTTCGTGATACAATTCATTGTTGCAAAAATTTTCTCATATAATTGTTTAACATCTATTTTCTTGGTTCTACAGGCATCCAATTAAATCCTACATTTGTCAAACTTGTTGCTTGGTATGATAATGAATGTAAGTCATTAAGAATATTTTCTTTTTTTGTATATATGCAAATTTTTTTAAAAATTTTTTATCGAAAAATTTAGTTGGTTACTCTACCCGTGTTGTCGACTTGATTGAATACATTGCCAAGGTGGATGCCAACTGTTAATCAGAGTGAACATATCCGCTGCACTTTTGTAAAAATATACGCTAGTAAAATAAGAGAAATGAATCTTCACTTTGAATAGTTCCGGGAACATCCTAATAAATTGTATAACTTAAAATCATTTTGCGAATAAATTCCATACTTATAAAAAATTTAAATAGTCGTAAATTCAAGAACCGTTAAATATTGTTTCAATGCGATATTTAAATATCTGAAAAAGCAACATTTAATATTGGTTAAACCCGTATTAAGTCTTAATGTTGGAAGATTTCATAATGTATTTACTAATTGTTTAGCTTTATCTAAAATAATGCAATTTATAAACTTTTGCCAAAAAATTCCATCCACTGTACCAGCTGTCTTTAAGGTTCTTGAATTGTGATAAAGAGTATAAAGTATTTGTTTTTTTTGACAAATTATTATAAATGTAAAATTTTTAAATAGTTACAACTAAAAAAAAGTTGTTTTTTATAAAAAATTCTTTTTATATGTTATTGATTTTGTAAAAAAAACAAATAGTTTGCATTTTATTTTGTAAATTTTGTGTTTAGAATTTTAAAAACAATTGATATATTGAAATAAAATCTTTGATCAAAGTTTATTTAAACTTAAAAGTTTTAATTATATTAGAAAAGATTTATACTTTTTTTTATACTTTTACTATACAGTATATAATATGTTGCTAGAAATTATAAATTCTTGATACAATTGACATAATATAATTAATTAAGTATTATTAAAATAAATAAAATAATTAAATATTTCTTATTTTTATAATATTATTAATAATTCTATATTTGTATTTTTTAATTTTACAAAAATATTACAAAAAAAATTAAATTAAATTATTAAATAACTTATTTATTTTAATTTAATCTTTTTATATAATTTTATTTTTATATTTTTTAAATATAATATATAATAGAATTTAATTAAATTACTTTTCAAAAATTGGACTATTTCTTAAAAACTATATTATTAACAAATTTTTTTTACAATTTTATATTTGTCAATAATTAATTTATAGATTAAGAAATAATAAACTTATTAATTAATATACAGTATAATATTTTAATATTTTTTAAATAATTTAATATTTTTTATAGGTTTTTAAAATTAAATAAAGATTATAAATTTTTATTATAAACTTTGTTAAATTGCTTTTAACAAATTTTTTATATTTACTTATTATATATATGTATATATATTATTATATTTTTTATAAAGAATCATTAATTCATTATTTTTAATAAAATAATTTAAAATTTTTTTTTTTTTAAAAAAGCAAATAGTTATTATGCTTTATTTTATTATTATAATTTTAGACTTGCAATTACAAGATTTATAATATAATTAGCATGATATATATTTCTTTTTGTTAGGAAGAGTTAAATGCAAGACCTATAAAAGAGCCACACCTTTAAGCTTCTTGATACTACTCAAGAAATATAGTAAAAATAAATTTAAAATCTATATTATAGTCTTGAATAATATCTAGTTAACTTGAAATTAATTTGAATGCCTAATTATATAAAGGTGTTATAGTCACTTTATATAGATTTTCTTCCAAGTTATAAGTAGAACTGACATGCTTGCTTTTTAAATATGGCTTAATATTTAGCAAGCAAAGTAATATTGAAAGTGATTAAGTTATAATTACTTTTTCATATAAAGAAGCTACAGCCATTTTATATAAATTTGCCTCCAGATCATAAGAAGAATTTGATATACTTATTTTCCAAGTATAGCAAAAGTATTTTATGAATAGAATTTTGTTTTGGAGTTTCTTAAAAATATTGATATCTAATCTTATATAATAAAACCTATATTGTTATAAAATAAGTAAAAAACTTTGTTATTATCATTAGCTCATATTGTAAGGGTAATTAGAATCCTTGATCTTTATATATATTATTTTACTAGATTCTTTAATTACCAGTATAATATCTATAAACTAACCTAAATTATTGTTAACTACATTGGTATTGGCTACTATATTATTCTAAATACTGTGAAGTGCAATTCTTTGAATACTTTTGAATAATAATAGTTGTATATTGGTTTTTTAGATATATCTGGTCTAACTATTAATAAATAAATAATATTGAATTAGATAATAATAATTATATTAATCTTTTGGAGAATAAACCATTCATTCTTTTTCTGAAGTCTATATTCTGTAAAAACCTTACCACTTCTTATATAGTTCTTGAAAGAAGAAAATTTACTAGCCAAGAGAGTAATAAAATAAAAGATAGTATATTAAAAAAAAAGAGAGGTCTAGAGAAAAAGAATCTTCAAAAAGAAGGGAAAATCTTACTTTGATAGGAAAGAGAAAAAAAGAAGAAGAAAGAAAATATATAAAAGAAAATTTATAAAAAAAATAGAAAGAATAAGAAAAAAGAGAGAGAAAAGAATATAAGAAAGTTGAAGTGGAGAGAAGAAAAAGCAACAAAAAAAAGTAAACAATTCAAAAGTTTCTTAAAAAAGAAATTTTTAAGTATAGAAAGAGAAGTGAGAAGAGTTTTTTTCTTATATAAGAAATTATTAAATTTTAATAATGATAATAATTTCAATAATAAGTAAAATATTATTATAATTTAAAAAACTTTAAAGAAATATAAATTAATATGAAATATTTTAAAAATGAATATAAACAGTATAGTAATTATATTTGTTTTAAAAATTATTTTTAAAAAATTCTAATAATCTATATGTTTTAAGACAAAAATAATAATAATAATTAATAATTTTAATATTATATATTATTAATATAATAAATTTTAATAAAATATTTTAAAATATATAAAACTGTCTATTCTATTATCAATTGTTATAAAAAATATATATAGTACTAAAATATATATTATAATAAAATATAAACCTTTAAAGATTTTTGAAATATATATATAATTTTTACTCTAGAAATTTCTATTGAAAATAAAAATTCTCAAGAATTTTAAAAATCTTTGTTATATTAAATTTATTAATAAAACAATATAATTTATATTAATATTTTTTAAAAATTTCTAAATTCTTATATTTTAAATATAATAAAATAAAGTAAAAAGTGTAATAATTGATAATTATAAACCTAATATATAGATTTAATATACAAAAAAAATAAATTTAATTTAAATAATCAAAGTTAAGATATATAATAAAAATAAAATTAACAATAAAATAGATTTTTTTATTAAAAAAACAAAAAAAAATTAGAGATTATTTAAACTAATTAATATTAGCAAGAAGTTCTAATAATATTATATTAAAACAAAATTTTTATTAATATAAGAACAAAAAACTTTATTAAAGAAATATATAAAAGAAATATATTAACAAAATAGATAATTCAAAATCAAATATGAAAAAAATAATTCAAAAAAATAAATAATCAAAAAAATATTAATTAAAAAAGTTTTTGAAAAATAAATAAAATAAAAGGATTTTTAAAAATATTAATAAAACAATTTATAAAAAAAGTCTTTATATAAAAATAATATATAATAAACTACTAATACTAAATAATATAATTAAAAAATTTTTCAAAAAATTTAAAAATTTAATTAATAAAAAAGAAAAAAAACTCTCACCCGTTCACCGCTGATTTTTTGAAAATTTCCTTTTTAGAAAATCTTCTTCCAAGAAGCGTCTCACTTTCTTTATTCCCTAAAGCAATAAGCTTTAAATCCAAAGGACATAAAGACTTTAAGAAACACTGTTGCATTGGGATAGGACCCCTGGTCAAGACCTAAGAAAGTTGGGAGTCTTTCTTAGCTCTTGGTTGCATGGGGAAAGACCCGTGGCAGCCCTTCTTTCATAATTTTTTTGTCTTTAGGTACCTTCCTTTCTATGACCATGATAATCACTTTTTCCCTCACCTTTTTCTCTCTACAATACAAATTCAATTACAACAACACATTCAAACATAGTTACTGGGTCTAATGTTTGTCTCAACATAACCT